CATGCTCCAAGCCCCTGTGTCCAACCTGGCCTTGAACACTGCCAGGGATGGGGCAGCCACAGCTTCTCTGGGCACCCTCTGCCAGCGCCTCAGCACCCTCACAGGGAAGAGCTTCTGCCTAAGAGCTCAGCTCAGTCTCCCCTCTGGCAGGTTAAAGCCATTCCCCTTGGCCTGTCCCTACAGGCCCTTGTCCCAAGCCCCTCTCCAGGTTTCCTGCAGCCCCTTTAGGCACTGGAGCTGCTCTAAGGTCTCCCCTTCAGGAGCCTTCTCTTCTCCAGGCTGACCCAGCCCAGCTCTCTCAGCCTGGCTCCAGAGCAGAGCTGCTCCAGCCCTCTGAGCACCTTCATGAAGCATGAATTTTATGAACAACATCTGCAAGGATGTTTTGAAGTCTTGCTTCGTGGGACATGGAGGTGGTGCCCAGTGCCTTGGAAAGCTCTCTCCTGGGGGACCCATTGTAAAATGCAGCTGTGAGCTTTCCAAACGTGACTTTCAGCGACATGAGAGGTGACAACTGAATCTGTGTAGAGAGAGGATGCTCTTGTTAGGGACCAGAACTGTTACCTCCCAGAGTTTTGGTTGACTGAATAGATGATGGCTTATCAATAGATAAGAAATAAGATATAGAAAGCAAATGCAGAAGGAAGCTTTGAGTAACTAACTTGTCTACCCCTTGCTATAACAGTTGCTGTTTGCCTGCCCATACTGTTCAGGTGAGGAGTCTGCTGTCTGTTAGACAGGATCAGGAGGGAATTTTGCTGGCACATCAACTTTTCCTGTGCTCTTTTACTTTAGCTTGTACGTGTGCCCACTTCCCACCAGGAATCTCCTCTTAACCCCAGTCAGTCTTCCACCTGAGTAACCAACTAATGTAACAATATCACAGTTTAGAGAAAAGTCATACACTTCTTTTAATAAATGATAGCTAGTTTGAATTCTGCATAGCCTTATATAAAACACAGGTGATGATCTTATAAACTGCTAGCTTACACTTGGAATGCAATTTGTAAGAGCCCTGTCACTTAGGTTATGGAAGTAGTCTATAGCATGACTTCTACAGCAAGAGAAGGAGCAGGTTGCACTCAGGTCGATGGCTCCTACCAACCACAAGCAATTCTGTGGGAATTGCTTGTGTTTCACTTGCAAGTTATCCCTTTCCTGTTTACTTGGAGGAGCACTGAAAGCTTTTTAGAGATTCTTACATTTCTTTTGGCATTGGGCTATTAATATCTTTATAGATTTTTATCGTGGCCTCTTTTTCTAAAGATAGATGCTTGGGTTGCTGAAGAGCAGTTCAGTAAAAGATACCATAGTGGTTTGTCTAAGGAAGGATCTCCAAACATAATGTTCTTGGGTTTATAAGTGTCCTTTTTGCCCTTCCATAAAAGCTCCATCCCAAAAGCTCCAATCTGAAATCACTGAGATTTGTGTCCTCTGTAAAATAAGCTATTTTCAGGGTAAATATTTGGACTTAGGCATTTATTTATAGTATTTAGATGATAGGAAGATCGCCCTTTGCAATCAGGAAAAATAAAGCCTTCTCAAGAAAACATCTCCATCTCTCTTCTCTGACTCACACATGGAAAGATGGAGATTTAAGACTCCCAGATTGTAGGCATGGAACAGAGGTTGGGTAAAAAATCTCTTTCTTTTACTGGCCTGTAAAATTGGAACTAGAATGAAGGCTGGAATCTGATTTTGAATTGCAAAGTTGATCCTCCAAGTATTGAAGTCAGAATAATGCTGGCAGTAAAGGTCACTCAATCTTTTAATTATCTTAGAACATTTTTAATGAGAGTTGATGAACTGAGGTTCTAAAGCATAAAAAATCCCCATCTTTCAGATTTAGAAATAGGCAGGTTTTACAGTTGAAGGAAAAACATTTGTAAACAGGGTTTCATTCTCTGCAGAATTCATTTTGAATCATCATTTTAAATGTATTGTTTCCAGAACTTTTTTGGTTTAAAACCTGTGGACGCCACCAAGAAATGCTGTTGTAGATGTCCTTCTGAAGGACAGAGGGACAGTGAGTTGTGCAAGCCCCATGTCCCTGAATATACACTGAGTGTCCCTTTTGTATAAGTGCTTTCTCATTGTTTCTATTCATAGTCTCCATTAAAACAATGCTTGTCTCTATGAAAGCTGCAGTATTAAAAGACAGTCTCTTAACTGGGCCCATTTTACTTACATCTATCTGTCTAAGGTTGTTTATTCATCTAAGAGAGGATGGTGCTTGTAATGCTAGTAACAGAAAAGGACTGAGATTTATTGCAGAGCCTTCCCAATGCCTCGCAAGTGTTTGCTGATGGATGAGCTCGACTCAGATGTCCCAGCTCGTAATTCACAAGTCACAACATAATTCAGCAAAGAAATGGCTTTTCTCAGCATACAGCCCTCTTGCAGTGATGTGACACCAAGTTATTTCAGATGTTGACGATCACTACAATAAGTAAAGATCAGTGATGCTGGTTAAGCTCTAGCTTCCACCTTTGTTTAGAACAGATTGGCTGCAGTGATTTGGCATCACACAATAGCAACCTCCAGTGTGTAGCTGCTGCTCAACAGGACATCTTTGTGGAGGCAAAATGGGATGAATATTTACATGTTGCCATTTCTTACGTGTTTTGCAGAAAAGTCATTCTTTCTAAATGCATCAGAACCTGCCAACCATTTGGTTTTGCTTCTCTTGAACTAAGTATTTCCTCTTTCCCATCAATTTCTTTTAAGAAGCTCCCTCAATCCATATGCCAGCTCAGGCATTGCTCACTGTTAGCATCCTGGACCAGGTGAGGTGCCAGTTACATGTACAGTGCCCAGCCTACTTGTGGGCTTGGCAGGGCTGTTGAACACGGTGAGTTAATGTTAAAACACAGGGAGATGGAGGTTTTCCTGCACTTTTTTTTTGGATTATGGGTTTGCTGGTTGTACCTATGATTAGGATAGTGCTTGTTAAAGAAGCTGGGTGTTGGGGTCTGGAGGGATGATGTGAACAACCATAGGTACTTCAACAAGGGCTTTAAACCTAATAACTGCTGCTGTTAAGCATGTTCACTGTACCTTCCATGTCAGCCAAGACATCACCTAACAGTTGGAAAAACTAAGCAGGAGGTAGTGGTTTGAACCATGATGGGAACAGCCCTTTCCTAGAAATCTACAACCTACCACAAAGGGAGTGAGTCAGTAGTTACATGGTGAATGCCAATGTATTGTGTTGGCCTCTGGCACAGGCCTTCAGCTGCCTCTAACAAGCAAAGGTGCCCTAAATGTGGTGCCATCCTCTTCCTCCATGGGCAGGGTGTTCATGAGCAAATTTGGTCCAAAACCATGGGTTGGGCAGGTTCAGAAGAGGCAAATCTCTTCACTAACTCTGTACTCATCAAGGCAGTTGTTGCCATTAGCTTGTTCATAGAATGATTTGGGTCGGGAAGGACCTTAATGATAATCTAGTTCCATTGAGTCAGATCACACAGACCTTTGCTTTATACCGTCATTTTGATTCCTGATGACGAAATTTGTTATTTATGGCACAAAAAGAGTTTATTTTCCTATAACATGGTCTCTGCATCACCACAGAGCACACAGCAGTCTCGGGAAAATCTTTTCTATCAGTGTTGTTAGTCAAGATTTGATGATACTTTAAACAGCAGGAGATCAGACTTCCAAATTTGCAGCAGAGGCTATTTTGGGATGGGATTGGTATAATCCTGCTTGGTAATGGTGCTTCCATGTGCCAAACAGGGAGCACAAGGTACAGGTTGATCTCGCCAGCAAAGGTCGAATCCTGCTCGCACTCACCAAATACGGGTTTGAATAATAAATGGCTTTCCTTCCTGGGGTGAAGACACTGAGATTTTCAGTCTTGGCATCAGTTGGACTGCAAGAAATGGATTGCTTTGTTTTTAATGCTTTGTAACGGGAACAACTTAGAGTGGTTACCTGACCTGCACTGATAAAGCAAGAGATCTCAAAGGACACAAGTGGAGCTGCTCTTTTGGGCCAGGCTGCCATCTGCAGGCCACTGCTGTCCGTGCTGGAGCGGTGTGGAGCAGGCTTTGGGGCTTGCTTTCCTTCTCCAGAAGTTCTTCTTAAAATACGACTGTGAAAACGTTAAATTGTTGTTGTTAAAATAGATATTAAAAGCAACTCGTTACAAAGTGCTTTTTCTGGGTAAATATCACATAATAAGTCCAGTTTGTCTCCATCTGACCCTATGAACAGTCACCTCAGATCTGGAAACAAACCCCAAGGATAGCAGAGATATATAAGCCGTCTTAGATTTCTCTAGAGGTTAAGAATATGCTTTTCTTTTATCAACTGTCGTTCAAATCTGTAAGTAAATATTTCTGTCCCCTTTAGAAAGGGGACATTCCATCTGACAGCTGAACTCTGTCCATCATTCTCAGTCCATTATTCTTTATGGTGGTGGTCTTAGATGAACTGTAATATTCAGCTCCTATTGAATGTTAGAAGTTGTGTTGACAATGGGATATGAGTATATGACTACTAAGTGCTGAAGGCTTTCCGAGCATCCCAAAGATTGTGGGGTTTATAGTCCCCAGGTGGATAGAGGACGCAACAAAGCTGTTTGGCTTCTAATACAGCCAGCCTTGGCTGCTGGTGCTTCACAGAGGCCATCCCTACCTGCCCCAATTAAAAGAAATGCAACACACTCAGTACAGTTCAGCAGATTTTGGTCAGTAGTAGCTAATGTAGAGACTCATGGTTCCACTGTTGTATGTATCACTGACTGTTGTATTTCAGTAGCTTAAATATATCTATTGCTATCTTCTTATTGCCCAGGTATTTGAGAACTAAATGATCTGTGCTTTTGTTAGCTGTTATTTTGTACCTATTGATAAGAAATCTTTATGGAGTGGTTCATTTGGGAGAGAACTTACTGCAGGTAAATGACTGGTCAATTTACAATTTCAAAGGTATAACAAATTAAACGTTTGGTGTGTAGCACATAACCTTAAAATCCCTTTTTGTCTTTGTTTTAGGTCTTCCTGAACAATACTACAGCCTCACGTGGTTCCTTAGCCCCATCCTGGGCTTGATCTTCACTCCGCTTATAGGTTCAGCCAGTGACCGCTGCACACTGAGCTGGGGCCGCCGGCGGCCTTTCATTCTTGCTCTCTGCATTGGTGTCCTCTTTGGAGTTTCACTTTTCCTCAATGGTTCTGTTATAGGTAAATAATGAGGAAATCACCTGCATGTAACTCCTGCTAACACACCTGCTGTCAGATTTTGATGTAGGAAGTTAAGATAACAATACGCAGTCAGTTTAACTTGTGTTTAGTGTTAAAATCATTAGAAATCACTGCATCTGAGCTATGCACCTTGTGTGGTTTTATCCTTACTCTAATGTTAGGGTGCTGTGCTGAGGGTTGTGCAGTCGTGGCTGTAACTAGTAATATAGTGTGTTAATACAATGGTTGCCAGCACAATGTTTGCAGTGGCGGAGACGAATTTGGTCGATCTTTGACATGGGAAAATTGTAGCAACCTGTTCACAGGGAAATGTTTCCTGTTGTGATCCATTTTCCCTTTAATGCATATCTGGCAACACATCCTGTTTCCAGCATTATTTCAGAAATTATCTTTTCACTTTTTCTGGTGCTTTTCTTAGAGCTGGTATTGAAAGAGTCCAGAGCACAGTTAATATTTGTTTATCAAAAAACCATGTGGGAAAATCATTTTTCCTGAGCCCCCATCAAAGCTGGTAAAAATAGTTTCCCTTGAACGTAGTTTACTACAGACCTTAATCTCCAGTATCTTTGTAAATTTAGGGTAGGAGGGGTGACAGCAAGTACATTTGGGGAACTGTTTACATCACGGTTGGACTGATGCAAATGAAAGGAACTTAGCACCTAGTAATATCCTCTTGGCTCTCTCTTTTCGGGAGTTAGATGCAGCTCCATTGTCACAGAGTTTTACTAAGCGGAGGGAAATGAGTGCAACATTACCTTGGCTCAGCATGTTTGCTTTCTAAAGCCAGAGCTTGGATGCCATATAATGGGGTTTAGTTCTCTGCAATGGACAAACTGTTCAGATGAATGACATTTAACTTATTCTGGTTTGATTTCCCCAAGTAATAGATGTTAATTATTTGAATTGCTCTCATATGGTATCAGTTGTATTGTGGTGATATGTGTCCAAGACTTACTCCTCCTCCTCCAGATGTATGCAAGATGTTAGAGTGTGTTATGGCATTTTGATTGATAGGAAGCTCTTATTTCCACACAGTAGTTTAGGTCAGTAGTCATTCATGCTGGCAAGCAAACCTCGTACACAGTTTATGGGCTTATTTTGAAGTATCTCACCTTGTAACAAGGTTACAAAAATACTGATTTCTGTCTGCTTTTTGGTTGCACAGTAATCCAGTCTGTGCATGGCTTACCAGAAACCCTGTGCTTTCCAGGTACTCCAGTGGTACTCCTGTGCCATGAAACTTCTTTTAAACACAGGGGCTGTTGCAATGCACTGTAAAAGTGAGCTGAGTGCTTCGTGCATCCATCCTGGAACTGGTTGTGGTAGATTCTGAAGGAAAAACCTGTTCTGAAAAGCACTTTAAACACTGCTGTGCCTCTCCCAAGGGAGCCTGGAGTGAACTGAACTGAAGTGATAGCTGTTCTGTGTTCTTCTTTAGATCTCTTCCGTACTAGAAGATCAAGGTTTGCCACTAGCATTCAGCATCATAGAATCACAGAATGGTTTGGGTTGGAAGGGACCTTAAAGATCATCCAGTTCCAACCCCCTGCCATGGGCAGGGACACCTCCTTTAGACCAGCATTTACATCAGCATAAGACAGCACTTGATGTCAGTGTAAGACAGCACCTGAACTACTATTTAGAGCAGAGGTACAATACGATAAAGCAATAAAGGAGTTTTGCTAATCCTAATAATAGTACAACCATGTCCCAGGAGTACACCAGTGGATAGATCTTATTCAGCCCTTGTTCTCTCCACTGTATGCACTGTTCAGGTTTCCAGCAAATCTAAAGTACTGACACCATTGCTTTTCCTTTGTAATATTCAACTGAGTGTGGAACAGGTATGAACTTCTTCAGCATTCAGAAGCCTTGGTATAAATGAGGATTGAATATGAAGGAATCAGCTCTTGAGATTTAGCTCAGCCACTTCATCTCTTTCCACAGTCATTTTCATCAGTTACACTAATGATTTTATCAGTGTAGCATGTGTAACTTCTAAATCTCCCTGATCCAAGTAATTCACGCTCTTGTCAGTGGTTTATTTCATGACAAATTCCCCAGCTATACAATAATGCTGCCTTTCTACTCAGCAGACAAAAAGCATTTCATCCCCTGCTATGAACAGAAGCCAACTGATACTTTGTGCAGTGCAAAACCCCTTCATATTGCTTCAGCTTATAAAAGTGATCTGGAAAATATGAATAAGCAAAAAGAGGGGTGAAGGGGTTAAAATACGTTTATCCTGGTGTACTGCGACCACTGCTTACTGGGCACCGTGGCAACAAGGCTGTCAATAGCCAATGCTCTGAAAGGTTTAAGAGATACTTTTAAAACAACATACTGCAAAACATATTTCTTACATATTACAAATGTAAGAATATGATCTTTGTTCCACACCTTCCATGAAGCTGTGCCAAAGAGTTGGAATTGCCCTTTTACTCTGTAAAGGAATGTGTCCAGTGAGCATGTTGGCCACCTTTCTCTTAAGGAGTTAAGCTTGCTCTTAGTACTTTTCCCTTTTGGGACATGCTCAGATCCCTCTTCTGTTTCTCCTTAGGTCTGGCTATTGGTGATGTCCCGGATAAACAGCCCATTGGAATAGTTCTCACAGTGCTTGGTGTTGTGGTGTTGGACTTCTGCGCCGATGCAACAGAAGGGCCAATTCGGGCCTACTTGTTGGATGTGGTGGACAGTGAAGAACAAGACATGGCCCTTAACATCCATGCGTTTTCAGCTGGTATGGAGTTCGTTGATGTGGTTTTTGCAGCTGTCAAGTCTTACTGATGATCCAGTGTGACTGAATCGATTGTTTTGTCTTCCACAGGTCTTGGAGGAGCAATTGGTTATATGTTAGGAGGGCTGGACTGGACACAGACCTTCTTGGGTGATATTTTTAAGTCTCAAGAGCAAGTCCTTTTCTTCTTCGCAGCCATTATTTTCTCTGTCTCTGTTGCTCTCCACCTTTTTAGCATTGAAGAAGAGCAATATAACCCTCAGCAGGACAGGATTGATGAAGAAGGAGACACCCTTTCCAGTGTCAAACTCAGCGGTAGTCTTGCCCCTGTGAACCGTCTGAATGTAATAAGTGAGGAAGAGCCGTATGGAACCTCCATGTTCCACGATGAGGTTCAGTCAGAGCATGACCTCAGTATGGAGTTCCTCGAGGTGAACATTGTGAGAAGCAAGAGTGACTCGGTTCTACACATGCCCGATGCTACATTGGAAATTGAATCAGAGCTGCTTTTTCTGCATGACATTGAACCCTCCATTTTTCAGGATGGTTCCTACCCAAACACTCCCCACAACACAAGCCAAGAGACCATGAAGTCCAAACTCAACCACCTCTCTGCTTTCCTCAGGGACAATGAGAAAGAGGAGGACATGTTGCTTGATAATTGCCTAAACGAAGATAAAGTCCCAAACATCAATGGCTCCCTACCAAAAGAGTTCCTCAACGGCCACGCTAGGATAGGCATGAAGCAGTCCAGCACTTCGAACTCCATGCGGCGGCGGCGGCACATGTTCTACCGTCAGCCATCCTACACCTTCTCCTACTATGGCAAGATAGGCTCCCACCGCTATCGCTTCCGTCGCGCCAACGCCATCGTGTTGATCAAGTCCTCACGCAGCATGAACGATATCTACGACATGCAGAGGTGGCAGCGACAGAGGTGCAGACACAGGAATCAGAGCGGCACGACGAATTCAAGTGGAGACACAGAGAGTGAGGAGGGGGAGACCGAAACCACTGTCAGGCTCTTGTGGTTGTCCACGCTAAAGATGCCAAAGGAGCTGCTGAGACTGTGCGTCTGTCACCTCTTAACTTGGTTTTCCATCATTGCTGAAGCTGTGTTCTATACGGATTTCATGGGACAGGTCATCTTTCAGGGGGATCCAAAGGTAAGGGAACACTTAATCACTGGCAAAACTGCTTTTGGTTACTCATTTCTGAGATGTTCTCATCACAATGGGTTTGTGCTTGTGTTTGCTGCAGGCCCCTTCTAACTCAACTGAGTTACATGCCTACAATGCTGGAGTTCAGATGGGATGCTGGGGACTGGTCATTTATGCTGCTACTGCTGCTGTATGTTCAGGTAAGAGGCTGCACAATCAGACAGTGGAAATTTCCATTCACAAGGGAAAAAGTGTTTTGCTTCAGTTACCATCAGCCTCCTTTGGGATGAAGGATATTTTGGAAAATGCATGGTCATATGGGGGGGGCTTCTTTAAGAATCAGTATTTTAAAATCCCCCCCAAATGTAGAGGTGGAAATAGGAACAGATGGGTTAAGTGGCATAAAGCACAAAGTGCTACCAAAGGATGTTGGATGGCATTTAGCTAGTCATCAGGAAACTAAAATTATGGCTGTGAAAAGATTCAAGCATATGTGTGAGGGGTTTTGCAAAGCCCAGTTTAAAAATCCAAGTTATAAATACCTATTTTGGCAAGTCTTTCGTGCTCTCTAGTAACATAAACCAGCTACAGGCAGTTTGGGCTTGTAATACAGGCTCTGAACCTGAGAGCTTTGACACATTCTGCCTTTTGCAGCGCATATGCAGGCACATCCCCCACAGATCAGCATGGTTGGGACTGCCTCTGTGTTGAGACATGTCCAAGTTCATGTGGGCAGCTTATTTCTGAGCACAAACTGAAATGTGTGACTATAAACATCAGTTACCTGATTGCTTTGCTTAGGAGAAGTGTTTGCATTAGAAACAGAATCTGTGCTCAGGGTGTATTTGCACTGATAAAGTTCATAAACAGGCAAGGTGGACTGAGTGAACCATGATATGTTTGAATCTCAAAGCATTTTATTCTGGCTCAGACTTGAAGGCAAGTCTCTGAGCTCATTTATTCCCTAGTTTCTGAAAGAGCAAGACTTCTTTTTCCATGTGAGAGTTGAGCTATGCTGCTAAGACAGGCCAAATATGCAGTGAGCATCCAAGTCCTAAACAGCATATCTACCTGTCAATACACAATCAATACCATAGAACTTCTCTGAGTAAACTGATTTTTATGTTTCATTTTTCATCTCCACAGCCTTGTTGCAGAAATACTTGGACAACTACGACCTTAGTATAAAAGTGATCTACATCCTGGGCACGCTGGGTTTCTGTGTTGGCACTGCAGTGATGGCTATATTCCCCAATGTGTACGTCACCATGATAATGATCAGCACTATGGGAATAGTCTCCATGAGTATCTCCTACTGCCCCTATGCACTTCTCGGACAATACCATGATATTAAACAGGTACGTGGAATGTTTCCAAGGCTCTGTCCAACCTGGCCTGGAACACTGCCAGGGATGGAGCATTCACAACCTCCCTGGGCAACTTATTCCATTGCCTCAACACCCTAACAGGAAAGAATTTCCTCCTTATAGCCAATCTAAACTTCCCCTGTTTCAGTTTTAACCCGTTACCCCTTGTCCTATCACTACAGTCCCTAATGAAGAGTCCCTCTCCAGCATTCCTGTAGCCCCCTTCAGACACTGGAAGCTGCTCTGAGGTCTCCATGCAGCTTCTCTTCTCCAGGCTGAACAGCCCCAGTGTTCTCAGCCTGTCTCCATACGGGAGGTGCTCCAGCTCCTGATCATCCTCGTGACCTCCTTTGGACTTGCTCCAACAGCTCCATGTCCTTCTTATGTGCTTCAGGAGGGTCTCACAAGAGCAGAGTAGAGGGGGTAGCATCGCCTTCAACCAAACGAGAGCTGCTACTTAAATCAGGTGCTGTTAGCATCAAGTTGGCTCAGTGGGGTCATGATTGCTGAACCCTGTGCTGAGGTATAACAAGATTTGGGTGCATATGATAGATGAAGAGAGGTTAAATAGCTGCTGGAGTATGTATTATATACCTAGATGTTACTGCTGTTTCTGATGTGTTATGTTAGCATCACTCAGGTTTTTCACAGTCTTAGATACTGAGGTGAATCCGGAAGTGCAGCTATAAGTTTGGGGAGGTGGAAGACACACTGATTCTGCTGGAAACAAGAACACATTATTTTCCCCTCTTTAGCACTGTTCTATTTGGATTAGAGATTCCGGGAGAAGCAGTTGTTTTAACATGTTTCTGTGTTTTGATGGGGATTCCTTTTTACAATCATAAAAACAATTTATACCAACACTTTAATGTAAATTCTTTTTACAAAGCCTAATCTTGAAGCCAGTTCATGCTAGTTGTGCCCCAGTAAATATCTGCCTCTTGGTGCGAGATGAGGAGGCCAATGCTAAGTACATCAGGAGGCTGTTGCTCTGGGTGTTGCAGAAGGGTGGCACAAAGATGACCACTTGAGGAGGATTGTAGTGTGTAGGTGCTTGGTTTAATCTCATCCACTGTATTCCCTCCTAAACACGTTTCTTGTCTCCTTCCAGTACATCCACCACAGCCCCGGGAACTCCAAGCGCGGCTTCGGCATAGACTGCGCCATTCTGTCCTGTCAGGTTTACATCTCCCAGATCCTCGTGGCCTCCGCGCTCGGTGGCGTGGTGGACGCGGTCGGCACCGTCAGGGTCATTCCCGTGGTGGCTTCGGTGGGATCCTTCCTGGGCTTTTTGACAGCCACCTTCTTGGTGATTTACCCTGAAGTCAATGAGGAGCCAAAGGAAGAGCAGAAGGGACTTGATCCTCCAAAGCCAACCGAGGCCAACGGCACGAGCACCGCGAAGCCGCCCGTGCTGAAGCTCACACGCAAAGGAGGGCCTGCGGCAGGGCTGGAGGGCGAGTCAGCCGTGTGAGGCCACCGCTGCTCCTTCACCACATTCCAGGGAGTTGCAGGTGCAGGACTTGGGGTCGGGTTTTTCTTTTCCAGGAGAACAGATTCGGATCTTCACTACTTGTAGCTGAAAACGAAAAGGCAGTTTTGTGCAAACGTGTAAATGAAATCCTGTAGTCCTTCATCTAGGTTTGAAGCCGTAGCCGTGGCGCCGATTGCTTTCTCTCCAGCTTAGAAACGTCATCTCTGAACACTTTTTTATTAAGGATACATTTAGATTTCGAGTAAGTTTTATTAACCTGCATGAGACTCACAGTGTATACAGTTAGCTGTTAGAAAAAATGAAGTTTTCAGCTGTTTTTAACTGAAAATGGAAGCTCTCTCAACTTAGTCTCTTGCTACCTTTCCTTGTCTGACCATTTCAGGTTTCACTCGTGTAACAGCTCAATCAAAACGCTTTGACATCTCGATCCATTTCTTTCCATGAGCATGATAGTATCGGTCTGACAGCGACAGTTGTTTAATATTCATTTTGGACTTCATGGGGTTTATTAGTGCAATGACAAAGAATGGGTTTCTTTGCTGTTATTTTCAAGCAAAACAAAAGCAATTACTGCAGTTTCTAAGAAACTGCTGTGAATCCTTTAGTCACGCTGTTAACAACAGCTCCCAGGTCTGCTGCTTGTCAAGAGAGGGTGATGCTGAGTGCTTGAGGTCAGCTGTAGACGGAAGGAGCCGCAATGGGGAGAGGTGATCAGCACTCACAGGTTCTTACCACAAGTGCTGCATATTATGAATGTCATTGGAATATGCTGTGACAATGTTTAGCTGGGGTGGGTTGTGCGCTGGTGAACTTGGCATTTAAACCTGATCATCTCTGGAGGAAGCTGCCACAGAGAAAGGGCATCTCTGGGGTCAGTTTCATGGGAGAGGGCATGTGGATTCTCTTTCATAGGGAAAGGAAGTCATTGCTTGATTGCACTTTGATCCTTTAACCTCCTGGCTGGGAGCTCAGCAGCCAAGGTAAAGGCACGGTGTCAGTACAAGGTAAACCCAAGGCCTACCTCCGTCACGTTATGGCATAGTCTGGGTGTATCGATCTTTATAAGAAAGAGCTTTTAGGCCTTAAAATTCAAGCCATGTGTTGCTGTTCCCATCCCTGTGTTGGAGGAATCATAGGCTCCTCAGAGCTGCTGTCCCAGTGTCATCAGTGCAACCTCCATGTCCTCTTCCTTGATTCAGGACATGGCTGCAGTGCAAAGACCTTTGTTCTGTGAAGAGCTTGAAAGAGTTGTGCAAATCTGGTTCAAAATAGCTCTTGGATCCCCAGCAGCGTGCCCCAGTCCATGGGCAGCCACAGCTCAGTGATCCAGCAGCCATCTAAAGCAACTTCAGAAACCAAACTTCTGTTTGTTGTCTTCTTATTATCTTACTCATTCCCACATGGTCCCATCGGCTGCACTTAATCCATGTGCTAAACAGACAGATCACAGCTCGTGGTAAGGTTTCTGCTGCCTCCAACTTCTCGTACTGCACTGCTTCAAAATGCATGTGTAGGTGATGCTGCAGTAGAGTCATCCAATGGAAGAATATCTGTTTCACACAGAAAAACAGATTACTTGAATTGTCAGTGGATTGAAGAGCCGTGTGGTTGAAGTTAGAGCTCAGCCTTGGCCAACATCATTGACATGGGTGCCTGGTAGCATCCATGGCTTTCTTAGCTGAAGGCTTTAGTGCTGATGTCCTGTTCTGTCACAGGGGACAGTGTTGGCTTTAGGCTGGTGCAGTCACCCAGCACTGAAGTACACATAATCCCCCAGGATTTAGGGGTTGTTTGGTTTTCCAAGGATCTTGAGGAAGTCTTTTTTGTCTTTAAGGTAACTTTTCTATCTAGAACACATACTGTGACCTGTGTTCAGACAGGGGAGTGATACTACTGAAGAACATGAGACCTGGAAGAAATCAGTTGTGAGAAACACTTGAACTGAACTTCTGCCGTGAACTTGATCATCTCAGTTGCATTTAATATATATCCTGGTGATGTTCATATAGAACAGGTTGTGATTCACCCTATAACTGGCATTAGTGTAAAACACACACTGTGGCTTTAATACTTTATATTTGAAGCTCCTTGAAGGTTCTGCTTTTGTTGCAGTGAGCACTGTCAAATCCTCCCTATTTTAACCTCTGTTTCTGGTTCTTCTACAGTTTAAATCTCTGCATCTTCTGACCAGTGCCAGCCTTGCCCTTTTCCCCAGTGAGTTTCATGGAGCAGCATGGTTTCCAATCACCAGTTACTCCACATGGCACCTTCCTCAGCCAGGATTTATTTCCCAGCACCATCGAGCTGACCAAGGTCTTGCTGCAGAGGGGAAGCTGAAGCTCCCTCTCATTCCACACCCAGCAGAGGGCAGGTGAAACCCTTTGGGGGTGAGCTCACACACATTTGTTCATCTGTCTGAGCCAGGGGAAGGATGTTTCCAACCCAGAGGTTCTCAATCAGAGGCAGGGCCAGCTTTGTCCCAGCCAGCATTTGGCATTGCCTCATGGCTAAGAAGTGGATGTTAAAATCCATGTTTAGGGTTATTTCTGGGGCAGTTTAATTGCTGTTTGCAACAGAACACATGGTTGTACGTGCTGCTGTGGAGCAGGAAGCTCTGCTTCACACCCCTATGAGGCTGAAGGAAATTATTACTCATTACAAACGCGCTGAAGTATTTGTATTGCCAGAAGAAGGAGCCAAAGTGTCTCCTCCTGTCCCGTGGCCATGGAACCACCACAGTGCCTGCACTGTGTCTGCCAGGGAGGCCTCCAGAGAGCCTCCACAGCAATGCTCTGCTTGAATTTGAGTTCTCTTCCTAACCCCAGCACTTCTCAGGTAGAGTGGGCCATGATTTAGTTCTTCCTGTGTCCCTTACCTTGTCTTTTGATATCAAAATCACTCATTTTTGGTCATGATCAGAAGGTATAAAGTAGGATTTTATCTGTTCGTTGCAGAAGTTGTGGGAAGAGAGATTTGAAGTGGCTTTTATTTATTCCTGGTGACAATAAGCATCGTTTTTAGTTTGTATTACTGTAGAATCACATTGATCCCATGTGCTCCATCCCTTTACTGCAGTAGGCTCAAGGTCTGGTGGCTTCATTGTATGCTGTCAACAGCTTTAACACATTCTGCTGCAGTGCTGGTGATGCACAACCTCAGACATGAGACACCATCAGTGCTCGGATTCTCAAGTGCTGGGAGCACTAAGCTGCACATCAGAGGTAGATACTCCACAATGAGAGCAGAGAAGCTCAAACTTCAACCCCTCAGCAAGGCCTAGCATGGATTTGCACTGGGTTATTGCAGGAGTCCAGTGGGATCTGTGCTGGTTGTGGATGGCAATTTCAGGCTCCAGAGCAATAATTTCTTAGGAATGTTTCTCTTCCTGCTGGTTAGGTGGCTTTCAAAGAGATTTATTACCTGAACAGCCTTTTAATAACATGGATCTGGTCATTTGCTAGTGCTGGGGTGAGCATTTATGGAAGGATGAAGGTTGTTCGTCATCAGAAGGAAGGCAGTAAATCCAGTGGAGGTTCGTGCTTCTTGAAACACACCCTGCCCTTTCCCCTTTCACTTGGAGCCTTTATGGACTAAGATATTCCCAGTGTGGTGGGCTGGGAAGGAGGTAGCTGCAAGTTCAGCCTCTGGGTTTGTGACCAGTGCTGATGCTGGAACACAAACCCTGTGATGATGGAAGTGAGGGCTGAGGCTTCCTCATTCCTCTCCCATTTGATCTGAATCCCTCAGCACGTGGAAAGACAGCAGCAGAAACAGTGATTGGTGCCAGGTACCTCATTAAAACCTCAGCTCCATCATTAGAGGCATCCATCCATCATCAGCTGGTGATGAGCTGGGTCCTCCTCCAGCACCCACCATTACAGCAGTGGGATGTTGTGGCCATGTGGGTTGAGGTCCCCTTTATGAGCAAGGTGGGGAGGAACACAGGGTGTTCCTGGGCAGGAGGGGGATTCAGGGCTCAGGATTCATTCATTTCTGGTGGTCACTCATGGTCTCAGTGATGTAACCAGGTCGCTGCCACTCCACTGCTCCATCCCTGCAATGAGTTGCAGTTCAGCCACTGAGGGTTGGGGTTTGAAGGTGTGTGTGTGTCTGTGTGTGCCTTCACGTACACACTGCTCTGGCCAAAATACCTTCAGTGCTCGTGTGCTCATCAGTCCTCACCATGTTCTCAACTGAGTTCCTTCAGGCTTCCCTCATCCCATTCCGATGCGAGACGAGCTCAGCTCTAAGTACGTCCCCTGTCTAAGCAACTCAACTCCTGCATGGTATCCAAGCACATGTAGCAGCTTCAGCACCTGGACTGTCTATTTGTGGAAGAGTTTCTTTGCAGCTGGTTTGTCCTTGTTTCCTTTGTAAAAGGCCAAATAAATGTAACGAACACCAAATGTTGCACAGGAAAACGTTAGTGACGACTGTGTAGGAGAAATAACCAAATTGTGTTTTTCTTTGCAGAGTCTTTATGGGGCCAGAGCCTCCTCTGCCTCTTTTGTTCTTCCTTAAACGACAAAGCTGAACGTTTGTAAAGTCCAAACTGGTCATTCTGTGGCGCTACCCAAAGGTCTGTTTCTCGTGTTGCAGCCAGAAGGAGCCATTGGGGTGAGCTGCAGAGCCTCAGCTGGAGCTTGGACACTCAGGAGATGGTGTTAGATGAGGAACAAAAAGGCTCAGTTGCCTTTTCATGATGCGATCTGCTCATGGGGTGTTCCAGGTTTCCCTGTAAGTTAAATGGAGACCATGTCCTACAGAACCAGTTGTCTTTGGTTCCTCACCCCTGTGGCTCTCACAGGTTCAACATCACCTTCCCTCAACCCAGGGAGCACAATGGACCTCGAGTGATACCCAGAGGAACAAATAACATCCCCCATCAAAGAGCATCTGCTACAATGAAGAGGCTTCTGATGCCCTCCAGACTGCTAAAACCTGAGCAAACCCCAGGACATGGCTCCATTTGCCATGCTCTGATGCATTTGTTACTTAAATTAAGCTGAAATCTGCACTTCAGCATCCACTGGGATGGTTTGGCCCAACGAGGCATCACCTTATTTGCACCTGCTCGGTCCTCAGTGGTACCCAAATTGCCATAAATAGCTCCAAAAACCCAAGACTTCCTACTCAACCGATCAGATTGATCATCACTTCTGCTGTAACACAGACACCAACCCCTTTGGGTAGCCCAGTGACCAGCTCCTTTGAAATGCCTCCTGTTCATAGCAAGCTGCATTTTAGGCATCTCATAGCGGGGAAATGAACTAAAAAAGGCTTAAAAAAATGATAAAAAAAAGAAGAGAATATTTAGTTCCTTTGAGAACTGGCCATATGACAACTACTGTTTTATCAACTTATTAAGTTGGGGCACTATACTAGCTCTTGCTGAGTTTAGCAATGTTTATAAGCA